AGCGATTTTAAAACATTCAAGCGCAAGAAGAGGCGAACAAGAACTCGATCACACAGAGAGAGACGTGTTTCAGACAGCATGCAAATTCCTCTTGATTCTCCTTGAACTTGAACACTCATACACACAAAATTATGTTAAAAAATGCCTGTCTCTGCAAGTATTCTCATAAACACGGTTTATGAGTCGGTTATGTCTTCAGTGAACGTAAACAGTTGAGAAAGAAATGGGATGTGTATCATTATATTGGATCTGTTCATTGGGTCTTAAAGTGACAGCCGTCATTGTGTCATTAATGTTAATCAAACAAAACACATCTTTAACAAAGATTAATCTATGTTTAATTTATACAGTGAACACTATAGTGTTATTTTACATTTAAGGATTACATTTCTGTACCTGAATACTGTTAAAGGGGCATTATGCACAAATCCCGTTTTTGTCAAACAGCGACCCCTAGAGTTACTGTGGAGTACTTGAATTTAACGTTACTGTCGTAAATACCACTCACAGTATACAATAGTACATTGTGTTTAATTTGTCGTTTAATGAGATATAATATATGTTGTTAGTGGTGAGAATTTTCACGTGATTAAATACATAGATCCGACAATTTTAATGGTCCAGAGGCAGAACTTTTGCCAAGTGTGTCAGAGGTTCTGGGTTCTAATCGGTACTAGTAGTATAGTTTATTTTCCTCATCAAAACCGATTGTTTATTAGTGGTTGTATTTCAAGCAGGGATATGTTTTTTGTGCATTAGATTTTGTGATTTCACCATAACAAAATATAGAGAGTCTCTCAGTCCCCGCAACGGATTCAGGCGCGCGTCACAACAGAACACTGTAACTTATCTGCACCACTGATCGCAGAGGCAACGAGCACTTTGGTCACTTGATTTCAAAAATAACACATTTCAGATCGCCTCTTATTTAACAAACGGACGAAATGAATGCTCTACTAGAGTTACCTGGAGATGTTTTATTTGTTTGTAATGGTACATCCGTGCCGCGAGAAGTTTCAATGGGGACATAGCACACCCGCAAATTACGCCTATGCTCGTGCCCGACTCCTCGCTCGGTCAGTCTGCCGTTTCCTCTTTCTCTGTTCCTCCGACAATGCTTTCCTAGCTTTCTGCATCTTATATGCCGGCTCAGCCATGACGATAGTGTGACAAACTCCATCCATCTATACCTTGTTCCTGTGTGTATGTGTGAGTTGCCGTAAAGGAATTTGTTACATCGCGAGAGCTGATATCACGCGATACTTCCTGACGCGGCCCGCCGCACCGAAGTTGCAAGTGAGATTTTTGCGCTCACAGGCACCAGGGGGGGTCGAGACGCCCACCATTCAACCCGAAAGAAGTTATATAACCATTTCAATAACTCTGAAGCTGTTCAGTTAAGCTAAAAAAGCTGCATAGTGTCCCTTTAAACCATACTTTACTTGTAACTTTGTTATATTGTATTTATCATCTATGCTTCTATGCTTGTAACTTGTATTTGTTCTTTATTTTATTAATGACTGTTCACTTGTCTATAATAATGTTTAATTATTAAAAGCTAGATTTTTGCTGAGTCATTGAAGTGGGCGTTAAATTGTAAAATAAAAAGCAATGTTACTTTTTTTTATTTTAAGATATTTTTAAAATTACTCAGTGTTTTGTTCATAAAATGCGTCACATGACTGTTCTTCAAAATGTTCGACAGAAGAACGCAAGTCATACAGGTTTGGAATAGCATGAGAGTGAGTAAATTATATATATATATATAAAAAATATTTTTGGGTGTGAAATAAAACTGTTATACTGAAATAGAAGTACAAAAACACAAAGACAGATGCAAAAACAAGTCTGAGTCAAGTCTACTGCATCTCCTGCCACTGCTGAAATGCCAAACAATCAACTTAGAAATCAAGACATATCATATTTGGCTTGAAGTTTTGGGTTGACAGACACACTAGATTGGGGAGTGTCAGGTTCATTTTCAGACAATGACGGCCACTAGAGAACATTCTGACTAAACCCTGTTAGTCATGCTGATCCCATGGGGTGGGTTTTAATACAACTCACACACTCTTTCTGACCAACGATACTAGACACTGCTGTTTTTCTAAGGGATGTTTGTTTATGTGCAGCCGGTGTAGAGGGGAATCTGAAGAGTCTCGCATTACATTTGCCTCTGGAATCTCTCAAGTCTTCGGAATTACAAGCTTAACATTCCTTGTGAATCACACAAGATATCCAACATCCACCCCGACTGCATCCGACCTTTACAACATTAACCGCAGTGGACACAAGGACAGGCATGTGATTGAACAAACATGCAAATTTGTCCGATTATGAAGTGCAAAAGGGAACCAAAAAAGCTCCAAACAAGTTGTAGCAGGACAGGATCAGACAGATATGCAGTTCAGCTGGTTCTGACAGCTTTTGGTATGATGGTAAATAAGGCCTGAATGCTGAAATTGAACTTAATCCCAACACACATGAAAAAAAGATGTGGCATGTTTAACCCAGTAAAAAAGCCTGACATATGAAACAATAGTCAGAAACATCTATTTTCTGAACTGCAAGTTTGTTGAACCTATTAAGGAAAATTTTGCATGTAGGCTTATGTTTCACATTTTGTACAATATTTTGCTTTTATAGCCCATTTAGTGAGAATATGCATGGAGGAGGACCACCAACATTTAATCCAGAGGCCCAAACAAGTAAATCAATGAGATGTTTAGAACATTATAGCAGACAACTTAGATAAAATGCATTTACTGTAAATATCAGTTGTCACTCTCACAATCTCCCAATAATATGTGTTGTTAAATATATAGTTCAGACAACATTTTTTATTCTGTCATCATTTACTCATCCTCGTGATATTCCAAACCTGCATGAGTTTCTTTCTTTTGTTGAACACAAAATAAGATATTTTAAAGAATGTTGGTAAACAAATGCAGGGTTGGTTTAACCCAATTTTGAGTCAAATATGGACAAACTCAAACGTGTGGTTTAAAAATGTAATTTAACCCAAAGGCTGGGTTTGTCTATATTTGACCCGAATTTGGGTTAAAACAACCCAGCATTTTTTAGACTGTGGTAGCCATTGACTTCCATAGTATAAAAAAATGGCATTCATATCAAGTCAATGGGTGCCGTCAACTGTCTGGATCCCAACATTCTTTAAATACCTTATTTTGTGTTCAACAGAAGAAAGAAACTGTTATTTTTTTTGTACTTATATAATGCAATGTAATACAATTCTGCTTGAGAGATGAACAAATAAACGTTCCTCAAAAGCCTTGTTGTATCATATTTGACGTATACGTTTGAACATGAAGTGTCTAAAAAATGATGTATGGATTATAAAGTGTTCATCTTGAAATATTACTAACAATATTAATTTAATCTTTTTTGAATAATGCTAAAAGCCTTTTACTTGCTAGAAGATTGTGGACAGGTTTTTCAGCAAAGAAAAACCTTTGATCATTTTGATGATTTAGAGGCCTTCATATATATCAAATATGATACAGTGCTTTATAGGGTTAAAAGGTTTAGTCCTCATGTATCCCGACAAGAAATGCTAACGAACATCTGTAACAAGAAGCAACTGGCTTTCATGTTGACAGGCCCCTTTAAGTATTCAAATTCTGAACAACACAAAGTACTACAAAACTACATTATTAGGCTACTAAATAAATAAGAGCTCGAACTTTTGGTGGATTGAAAGACTTCATTCAGGTTGAATAATGAATACTATATTGTTGAGTGGACAGCTCAATGAGAACAGACTTCAAAAGCTTTTTCCAAGACATCTGATTACCATTAAAGCTTCTCTGACTCCTCCTTCCACATTCTCTAACACAAAGGCGCCTTTAAAAAAACAAAACAAAAAAAAAACTTTCGAAACAGTACATATTTTAAAATATATAATTCTTTAAAAGGTTCCTAAAAGGCCTGCCATAATGGACACGACCGAGTCCACTGTATAATCCACATCGCCTTCTCAAAGACAAGTAAAAGTACTGAACTCTCAGTCAAAAGCACAATAACATAAATATTCCTTTACCGTGAAGCTGTAACAGTTGTGAGGTTGTCGTGCTGTTTAAAGTCCTAGAACTTAGTCCCGCTGAGCATGGATGTGTTACATGACTAGCTGGAAAACATTTCAATGGTGTTTGTTTAACTCTTGCCTGTGAAGTTCAGAGAAATTCAGTCCAGCCCACTGCTTCTGAAACCCGATCCAGGTGTTTCACAGCTGGCGCAGGTAAACAATACGACCCAATCCGCGCAGACGTTATTATATTTGTTTCTTACTTGTATCGTGATTGTTTTTATGTATTTATTTAAGAGCTGTTTAGAATGCATTGTAAGAATTCCAGTGTAAAAATGTCCGTATACTATACATATAGGCTAGTAAACAAATAGGAGCAACTCTTAAAAAATAAATAAAGTACGATAGGGGTTATATATATTTTTTTCTTAAACTAAAATATACATATATTTATAAATCTCATGAATATTAAACCAACGTTATTAATATTACACATAATAGATATGCATACGTAGATGTCACATTTGACCGCTCCAGACACGTCGGCGCGTCCGCCATCTTGGAACGGTCAGAGTGTCTTCACTCACATTGTGCACTGCAGCTTCTAGTTGTGAAACCGCCGAGATTTAAATTCCCGAAGAAATAGGATAAACTTTCATATGTGAGAATGTGTTGGTTTGTGGGTTTTTTAATGTATTGACTCAAAATGACATGTTTTTACTTTGTTTAATGTCGTGTTAGCTCAGCTGACACCGTTTTGTATTGAGTTGAGCATAATCATCTGAAGAAGTCTATTGCAGATGTAGATATTCATACATGTGTCAGACGCTCCGTCAACTTGCTCGGCTTTGACCGTTCCAATATGGCGGACGGCTTACGTCAAGCGGCCGCTTATGAGGCATGACCTATGTATATATTTTTTTTATCCATGTGACGTCCTTATCATCCCGCCTTCTTAGATGACGCATTATCCGCCAAGATGGTTGTCGGTGCCTTTCCAATTGCAAAGCTGCTCTATCTAGGCGTACGACAATTGGGGAAACCAGTGGCTAACAGGATAAAAGCAGGCGCGCGGAGAAGTGAATTCTTTAAGAATTATGTTTGCCTTCCTCCGGCCCAAGGTAAGCTGACATTTGTCTATTCGTGTTTGACGATATGATGTCAGTCCATGCTTACGGTGTCTGTAGGCGTAAACGTCGAAAGAACACACGCCAATGACGTTTGTCTGTATTGGCTATTTAGCCAATCGCAGAGCCGTTGAGAGATGGCTCTGGCCAATCGCGACTGCTGCGATGTTCTTATTGGGTGTTTTCAACAACTGATTTACCAAGTGACCAATAAGATACTAGAAAGAAGTTCCCTTTCGACAAATGAGGTTCGAGTTTGTTTAATGGGGGCGGGACTCATCTGTCATTGAGAGTACAACGAAAGTGCCTTTTGCTAGCTCTTGATTTTAAAATCCTTGACATAGAGCAGACAGACAACTGATCGTCTTTTCTTTTGTGCGCACTCAAATAATTTCTTGGAATATATGTCTTATTGGTTGAAGACAACGATCCAGTCACTGTCCACTTTTGCTAGAAAATAGATATAGATATCTTTTTTTATATATATTATAATTTTAATGAATATTACTTTTATATGATAGCTTTTATATACTAGTCTCTCTTTAAAATATTCTAGTTTTTAAATACTAATCTTTTAAAAAATATTATAGTATATTCTAGTTAATGTTTTAATATCATTTGAATACACAATGAAGTCACCGCTTTCTGCAGAACTGCTTTGTAGATGAAATAAACAAATTTAATAATTTATTATCTTTACATTTACATTTATTCATTTAGCAGACGCTTTTATCCAAAGCGACTTACAAATGAGAACAATAGAAGCAGTTAAACTAACAGTAGGACAACAATACGTAAGTGCTATAACCCCTCTCAGTTTAATTTTAGTGCAGTTTTTTTTTTTTTTTTTTAGAATAGAAGAGTGTTAATAAAAGAGAAAGTGTTAATTCTACTGAATCAAGTGCTGCCGAAAAAGATATGTCTTCAGCAGTTTCTTGAAAGTGGCTACTGACTCAGAAGCTCTGGTTGAGTTAGGCAGATCATTCCACCAACAGGGAACAGCCATGGTAAAGGTCCATGGTAAAGCCATGGTAAAGGTTTACAACGTAACTGAATCAACACTGAACTGACTTCTGCTGAACAATGACACTATTTTCTTCTACAGCTGCTTTACAGCCGAATTTAACTCTGTTCACATCATTAAATAATGTTCCTGTTATCACTGTAAGCTGTTTTTTTATTATTCTTTTTTTAACAATCTGTATTGTATGAAGCACCATGTAAATAAAGGTGACATGACTTGACTAGTCTGTTACATTGAAGGTAAAACCAAAGTGCATCTTTCCATGAATTCTCTGATGTTTTCTCTGTAGCGTATCACTGGATCGAGATGAGAACGAAGATGAGAATTATGGGTTTCCGAGGCTCCACCATCAAACCGTTGAATGAAGAGGCAGCAGCAGAGCTGGGAGCGGAGCTGCTCGGGGAAGCCATCATTTTCCTCATCGGTGGAGGCTGTATGGTGCTCGAGTACAGCCGGCAGGCCACCAACTCCCGGCGCAAGGAAGAGGAGCTCGCACAAACCATTACCAGTCTGCAGACGCAACTAGGAGAGCTTGCACTCGCCACAGAGACACTGGATGCCCAAATCAGAGAGGTTAATAGACTTCTGCTGTCCCTCCCAACAGCCCCAAGCACCAAGTAACAACTTGCATCACTAAAACATGCCCTAAGGAGGGTAAAGAGACCGGTTCATGGGGACATTTCAGTTGTGGTGCAGCACTGCCATATTAACACATGGTTAAACCCTCCCATACACACGAGGCTCTACAAATGAGGAAGGAAAAGAGAGTGTTTGTGTCTGATAAGTGACTGACCGCCAGCATTACATAATAAAAGCTTCTTGTTCTTTATCTGTTTGGTTGAATGATGCTGTTTTCAAATGAAAGTTGTTAGTTATTTGATGACGCTGTTAAACGTTTGACCACTTATTATTTCATAACATTTCAGTGATTCTTTTCCATTTTTTTGCTTTAATGTAATATGCTGTCGGAGTTGGGCATTCATCGTTCATTAATGATCTGAAAATGCACTTGAATTGTAAATACTTGAATGACAAATTCTATATAGTGAATATGGATGAGTCCCTCAATATGGGAAGCGGAGAGAGTGTGTGCTGCGAGAATATACCCATTACATCAAAAGACTGCTGTGTTTAATATGGCGTGTGTATATGGGTGTATATTTATCATTGTAAAATAAAGTTAAATATTCTATGATGGTTGGTTTTTTTTTGTATCTTGATTATATTACAATTGTAAAAACATTTTGTGGTTATCAAATGCCATTTTTTTCAAATATCACATGAGAAAATTTTAGCACCATTTTCAATATATTAAAGGCACAAAATGTTGTGTTTACAGAAGTACATAAAGGTGAAAAGTTTTAGCACTTAAAATGTAAGAGTTCCCATATATAATGGCTTTAGAATAGAAAAGATTACTTGTATTGTCACTACACAACTAAAGTATGTGCTTATATATTTATATATAGCTCAAACAACCCTTTTAGGTGTGCTGCTGTTATAATAAAGTTCAACACTCTTACTTCAGCAATAAATGTGCTCAAATGTGATGTTTATATAAAGTAATTTTTGCTTATTAGTACTGTTGAATTGGATCATCGAAGGTCAGCAGCAAAGACATTGGTTAATAAAGTGAGTTTAAATACATAAAGTATATTTGTGTTATTTAACATTGAATTATTGCAGGTTTGCATAGCCTGCTATTCTTAGTTTTCATTTCACTATATTTATTCATTTTGAGGAATACTGAATCTGTTTTTGTGCAAGTGAGATGATGAAATGCATGTTCACATTTAGTCTAGATCTACAATAATCAGGATGTTCACACACAGGATGCCTCTACTCTCACTCCTGATTTCTGAGGACAGGACAGCTTTCAGTCAATACATTGGAAAACAAAGTAACTTGTGTCTCTTGTTTGAAGAAGAAGAAAACTAATGTTTTGCTGTAAATGTAAAAGTAATGCATTACTTTAGTTACTTGAAAAGTAATCTCTTACATAACTCGTGTTACCACCCAACACTTAAGTTAATAAAGACACTTTAATTTTGCCTACAAAAATAACTGTATTACTTAAAGGAGATATGTATTTGAATGAATATATAATTGTATATATTATTGGGTAGAATTCAATTTATTGGTAAACATTCACTGTGCTGGTCTGCTGGATGAACTACGTAACGTATGTATTTGAATGAATATATAATTGTATATATTATTGGGTAGAATTCAATTTATTGGTAAACATTCACTGTGCTGGTCTGCTACGTGAACTACGGGATATTTAATATTCAACAATATTATTGAACTGTGTTGTACTACTTTCATGTTATCACTGTGAAGCTGCTTTGATGCAATCTGTATTGTGAAAAGCGCTATATAAATAAATGTGACTTGACTTGACTTGACGTAAATATTAAAGGAATGTCCGTCCATAAACATTGAATCTCTCATGTCTGCAAGCCGTCGGATGTGTCCGGTAGGAGGCAGCACTCAAACACTGGACATCATTCAGTCTCAGTCAGTCTTCTCTTCTGCTGACCTGTGCTGAAGCACGCGCTGTTCTGGTCCTGTGTTTACACAACGCACACACTCCTTCAACTGAACAACAGCTTTTCCTCTGGTAAGTCCATGTAGACTTTTTTTTACTGACATTATCGAGTTTGCATTAGTGAAATCAATGTCCATTTACATGAGCACAGTTAGCTAGAATCCGCAGTTTGACAAATCCGACGAATGCATGTGTCATTTCTAATTATATCGCATCATAGATGTGAAAGCATTTGCTGGATTACAGTAGATTCGCGTGTTTACACATGTATTTACTGCACAACTTAGGTGTGCACGTGATTTAGCCGGTTAGCTGTGCGAATGACCCACCCTGCTTAAAAAATCATAGCTGGTTTCTACTTGGACCAGCAAAATGCACATGATCCTAAATGGTTGTAGTTGGTTTTAACTGGTGTCTTGCTAGTCTGAGCTGGTCATTAGGTTTTTTAGTGACCAGTAGCTCAAAACTAGCTAACATATTCCAAATCACAGTGGGTTATGCAATGCAAAAGCATTATTGATGTTCTGGAGATAATCACAGTTGTCTTCCATCAGCAGGATTGGGAGCAAGGGCTCCACGTTATGTCATGCATGATGAGCATGGATGTGAAGAAACTGAAGGTGAACGAGCTGAAAGAGGAGCTGCAGAAGCGAGGGATGGAGACCCGAGGCCTTAAAGCGGATCTGGTGGAGCGTCTGCAGGAGGCTCTGGAGGAGGAGGAGAAGAAACACACCTGTGATGAGGAGGAGAAGAAACACACCTGTGATGAGGAGACAGAAGCAGGTACTAGAGTTTGTGTGCAGGAAGATGCATGCTTTTGATCTAATGATGATGATGATAATGCATTTGTGACCTCATGTGTGTCACACAGGTGTTGAGGCTGGGAATGACGAGCGGTCTGATCCAGGGCAGATGGACGGTGAGAAACAGGGCTCTGATGGTGATCCTAAAAGCCCTGAAGGCGAAACTAAATCTGAGACTGTGGAGGGACAACAGGCGACCGCTGAGAGTGAGAATGCATTTCATCCTCAATTTTGAGTTATGTGTCCCACTGGCTCGTGACTTTGGCTCGCTTGTTCATATACACGTAATTAAAACTTATGATATTTTCTACCTCTTGACCATTATAGATTTTTTTTTGATAGCCGGCGCCGATATCTTCGAGAGCTGAAATATTCATCACACATAAGTAACACTACTATATAATTGTATTATATAGTATATAATATTAATTTGACGTAATATTTATGTCAAGTCAAGTCTTCCTCATTTATATAGCGCTTTTAGCAATGTAGATTGTTTCAAAGCAGCTTTACAGAGATAAATAATTTCTAATTTACTAAATTAGAAATAAATAACTGAAAAATGAATCGATATAAAACATAATTTGAGCTTATTGTTTTCACATATTATTTTCATATTTTCACAAATAAAGAAATTGTTATAGACAATGAATAAAAAGGAAGTAAACACAGTAACAACAATACACTCAGGAATATGGTAATATGTATAAGTCTTATATATATATATATATATATATATATATATATATATTAGAATCTGTTTCTTGCCACTTCCATATGTGGTGCTAAATCCGATACAGGTCTCAGGTCTGATGTTTTGCAATGCGACCTCAGTCTAAACAGTCATATCGGTATTCAAGTGACTTACAGTGCTCTAGTAGATCAACATTCATCACTTATGTTTTTCTAGCTGGTGATAATTTTGATACATCATTGCCCCCTTTCATTACTTCAGATGCCCCGTCTTCAGTGCTTCAGGCTTCCTTTGGAGGCTTGCTGAGGCCCTCTAGTGTTGACAACCAGTGCTTTATATTGAATATTGATTGTTTCACAGCAGAAGTGGCACCAGTGAAGGTGAAAAATGAAGATGAGATAAAGCCGGAGCAACAGGAGCCGCAGCGATCTGACCCTGACGGTGAAAGGGAAGATCTGGAGAGCCGGCAGACTGTTAAATCCAAGTCTGAACAGGACGGACATGCACATCATGGCCACAAGAGGCGCTATGATGAGAGCCACGGTTACAGCTATTATGAACACCGTGAAGACAGGAGGTGAGTTTACCACAGAGCTTTTGTTATAATCATATATCATCAGCATTAGGATATTGACTTGATGCGGATTAACAAGTAGATTGACATTGTGATTTTCTGTTTGTTCACAGGTCCCGTTCTCCTCTTCCTCCTGCTGAAGAGGACGAGGAAGACTTCGATGGCACACTAGTGGCCATTGACACTTGTACGTAAGGGCTTGTTTTATTCAATCATGAATTATTATCTCTAAAATAGTCATGCTAATGCAATTCTCTCTGCTAACCTCAACAGATAACTGTGACTTGCACTTCAAAGTCTCTCGGGATCGCTGCAGTGGATATCCGTTGACCATCGAGGGGTTTGCTTACCTGTGGTCTGGAGCACGAGCCACGTATGGTGTAAACAAGGGACGCGTGTGCTATGAGATGAAGGTAATGTGTATAACGCTCAAAAGTTTGGGGTCGGTAATTTTTTTTTTTTTCATGTTAAAGCTGCTGTCCGTAACTTTTTTAAGTTAAAAATAATCCAAAATAATTGTATAAAAAAAATTCGAGCATGTCTTTGCGTCATGACGTCCCACCCGTACACATAAAGAAGGAGTTTCGGCTAGCCGGCTATACTGCGCGTGAGGAGATGTTTAGATGTATAGGCTTTTCTCGCAGCACTTTACATAATTAAACTTATGGCATCCAGAAAGATCCAAACAACAATCATCAGTGTCAACTGGAGATTCAGCAGTTATAAAACCCAAAAGACTTCGTACTTCGGATTTAAGGTGGCTAGAGAAAGAGAAAGAAACCGTCTCATGCGAACACAAGGATTTAAACATCGGCGGGGCTTTTGAAAAGTGCGTGAACTCCGTGTTTTGAAGGGGTTCGAAACGGAAGAAGAGACGGCTTTTTTCTGCTGAACAAGTAAGACATTTCAATAGTTCAATCGTGTAACAGTACGTTTTCTTAATTCACACAGTTATGGAGTTTCCTTTGTTGTGCCTTTCTCGTTTTGCTATTATGGAGAATATGAATTCTGAACTACACAGGTAACCATAAAACACTAAATTTAACATTAGTCACGCAATGCTGATGTTGTTAACATGAACAATTTGAGAACAAAGTAGGCTATAATTTGCACGGTTGCTGTAAATCACGTTGATTAAATCTAACGAAGCTTATCATGTCGAATGCTTTTTCCCCCTTAGTTGGTCAGAACAAAAATGGATGTTTCTTACTTGTTCAGAAGACATTTTCTTATGAAAATTCTTATGTTGGTCAAACTTTCAAAAAGTGAATCTGTGATTCTGTATGACATTATATCCACACAG